AGACGTGATAGTCAACGAAGTAATTTTTTTTCTCTTTTTTTATATCTGCTTCTCAAGAAGCAAGACCAGTTTCAACAGAACTTGATCATATCTCTTGATAAAATCAGCTAATAAAATATTAGATAAAATGAAACATATGGAGTTAATGAATAGTATTCAAGATCAAAAGTCCATAAAACAGTACAAAATACAAACACGGTCCTCCAAAACATCAGAGGTTGTATAAAGTGCTATGGAGGAGCTGTTATAAAAGAGAAGATATATATGAGGGTAACCAATATTTGAATTGTATATTTTTATTCATAACCTCAAAAAAATATTGGACTATTCCATCTGCTGAACAGTCGATTGGAGATAAGACTCTCATTTAAAAATGTATCTGTTTCAAGTCAACCACTACATGTTAATCTAATTATTAATAATCTTCACTGATGGTCCACTGATAAAAAATAGTACACTAAGATAGAGGCTTAGCCCTCTAAATAATCATTTTATCGACCATTAGAACTTTCAAAATGATGACTTTAAACGAGACTGCTGAAATTATTGTTACATCAATTGTTTGCAATTTACTGAACTCAGTTTAGAAAATGTTTGTATGTAGCGTAGACTGCGAAGAACATGCCCCTGCGCATCGAATAGTCTTTGATAAATAAACGCTGCAATCAGGCGATAAGGGTTCCGTTTACCTTATAAATAAAGGATGTTGACGATTTAAAAGTAAAAGTAATATAGCTTATCAGAAAGCTTTGCTGAAATGTTACCATTAAAGTCTTTTTCTAGTACAAGATACCTAGATCTGAAGCAGGGGTGCCAGAATCTGTGGTATCTTTAATCTCGAACTCATCGGTATATATTGTGTCGACATATGAATGAAATTAGCTATTGGTAATTAATAATACATCCTCGGTAAATCAAACTGTCAAGTTGAAGGCTACATCAAGTCATTTCTTCTCATCTATAAGATTTAAACATTTTTTCTTTTCTAGAAATACAAAAAAGTCTGTTTATTACATGGAGCAATGGGTACCCTTGAGAATTCCAATAGCTTGTTGGAAGACCTGATCTCCAAAGCCATATAGATATATTGTCAATTAAAAACTCATGTCAAACAATTGACCATTTTGTTAATGAAGCAGAAATCAATGATGTCAAAAATCTTGGCTTTTAATTCATCGTTGGGAATGATTGTATATGGAGATAAATATTAAGTCATAAGTTATTATGTTACTAATATTGTAATATGTTTGATATTGAAATACAATTAAAATATGGTGAATTTCAACCTCAAAATTCATTTTGAGTGTTTACAATATAAACAAATATTCAATACTGACAATTAAATCTGAAAAAAAACTCCTTAGAAAGGGATCTATGGGTATATGGAAAAGAACGACTTCCTCTAAAATACAATTATAATAAGCCACAAAAAAAAAGAAAGAAAAAAATTGTGTTTTTTGTCAGCTTTGACATATTAATTGATCACTAAAATCTTTTAATCGGCCGTGATATAACTTTTGGATTAACCCTCGTATTTGTCTAGTTAAAAAAAAATCTTATTTTTATTTCTATTGAAGAAAATATATTTTCTGTACTAATTTTGTCATTGTTTTTATGGTTGTTCATTACAAATATGGTCCCTGATTTTTTAAATGTAAGGCATTCTGGAGCTTATAGTTTGAGAGAATATTCCCCTTTGTGCATTAATGTACTTAAAAGAGAGTATACCAGATATGCATTCAGCATTAGAACCTTAAACATTATCAAATGGTTTCAATTGTATAAATTTTGTAAACAAAAAAAAGAAGACATTTAAACCTTTGTTGTAGCCCCGTGAGGTTAAAATAATGTAATACCATAAATTTTCTGCATTTGATTAAACACATTTCTATATAACGCTGTTCATCATTTTCTTAATCTATACCTTAAGGATAAGATTATTAGCAGATAATTGTTTACGATTTACTTTATTTTACTCTTCATTTTATGTCATTTAAAATTTATATATATCACGTATTTTCTGTAAATTTGCGAAAACTATATCCTCAGACATCTAAAATATTCTAACGGGATAACATTTAAGCTTCTGTTATCCGTTAACGTGCACGTGTTTTCCAAAAACATCAAGATCATTAAAATGAAAATTATCTACGGAGAATTAAAAAGACGCAGACCATTTTTAAACTGAGATGACGAGAATAATAATTACAGCCTTAAGATATACCTTATAAATTGAATTTTCCTTACTCTTTATCATTTTTTTCTGTCCGTGTAGTGCTAGTAGATCACACATTCAGGAATAAAATATCCTTATTGTGTTATTGGGAGATCGATTGTATAACAACCTCAAGATATATCGTTTAGCTTCTAATAGTTCCTTACTAATTCCCGCCGCGGAACTTGAAACCCGCCGCCATTAAGATGGCGACATTTTTATACCAGCAGGAATCGTAGCAATCCGCTGGTATTAAGACCGTCACAGCTGAGCTAAGGAACCATCAATCACAGACTAAGCTCTGATTCTTATCACGAGAAGCAAAAGGACCTAATAAAACTGTTTAGTAAAGTCTTGTAATTTTGGAGGTCTGCTTCGATTTTTGTATTGAAGTCTCTTGGGGTACTAAACCATGAGTTTTATTTATTGTACAAAATGTCTATATTTTTTGCTTCAGATTTTCGGATAGGGGTTCTATGATATATATGACTGTATATAAATGTAAGCTATTCTAAATCTCTGCTTTGAAAAAAAAAACTAATATGTAATAATGTATTAAATGACTACAGCACTTAGAGTTTGTTCTTGAAGTCGTGACTGATGTACTTTTAATGTTTAACAAGTACATCTCTGATTGACAGCTCAATGAACCAGTTTGTAAAATGTGTAATGTATTTGGGTTTAATATATAATTTAATATTGAGGATTATAAAGCGTAAACTGACCCAAACCAGGTTTTCCTCGTATAATTTGGCCAAGAATTAGAGTCATTCCTCAAATGTTTATTGTAAGCCTCTATAATCATACATTTGATGGGGGATAGTTTTTGCTCTGGAATGTTTAGTTTTTACTTTAATAGTACAGATGCATTTTTGTGACGGATTCTTCGTCCTGGTACCAACAATTCTGACCTTTGGAACTTGACCTTGTTAAAGTATGCCCTGATTTGGGAAAAAAAACTCGCCATAACTTTTGATAAAATTGGTTCGAGGGCTTTCAAAATACACCTTTTTGTTCTTGTTAATTCCTAATAGGCTTTTTTTTTTAGTACTATTACTTCTGATCTCTTGACATTGGAGTTGAGTTTGACCTGCATATGGTAAACTTTAACCTTTGCAAAGTAGCTACAAAACGGTGGCGTCAATTTTTCATAGACATATATTGTTTCTCTATTACACACATTTATTGCATTTCTCCTCTATTTAATGATCGAATGATTGTATGTTGTTTAACGTCCCTCTCTAGAATTTTTCACTGATATGGAGACGCCACCACTTGCTGGTGAAGAACTGCAAATTTTGTCCTATACACGGCACTCAGGGCCACTGAGCAGGGAGGGGTCTTTTTCGTGCCAGCACCTACTGGGACACAGGGCCTCGGTTTATACGGGTTCATATGAAGGACCAGTCACCACGTCCCACAGTGAGATTCAAACCTGCAACGTAATGATGAACTCTTACTTCGCGACTCTATAGCAGACGCTCTAAGCGCTACACCACGCCTTTATTTAAGGAATTAATTCCCGTGTCTATTATAAAGGTTATTTGCACATACCATTGATGATTCCATATAACTTATACAACTATGCTTAATTGCCTCACAAGTAATGACTACTCTGTAAAAGATTGTGTAATGAATTAACTTAAACTGTTATCCAGACAGACATTATGTCACCAAATTCTATTATTCTTAATTTTATTGTCTAGTCTATGGTAAATTAGAAACGAAGAAATTCATGTAGATGCATATACACAACTCATAAAACAACGTTTTGTGACTGAAATACATTGAGTAGTTTTATACTCATGAAATTCTTTATATCTCTACATGACTTAAATGTATTTTGTCTTGTACGAAATTTTGATTGCCTTGTATTTTTAAGTGTTTTGTAATTATTTTTAAATTGATTGATTTGTGCTTAAATCAATCGATGTCCCTTGCCGGTGTGCTTGGTCTTTACTGTAAATGTCTGTCGTTCCAATTTATCTGTACACTGAATGTATTTTATATCGGTTTTATGGCTGCTGAGACAGGCCCACAAATTCATCTCTATGTATTAAGGCACCTGGTCCCATAATTCCAGACGTCCATGATTAAACTAGTTTCAATATACACTATATATAAGCTAATAAAAGAAGTATTCACCAGACAATTGTAGATTGCAATAACCTTTCGCCTACATTTTCAATTACGTTACATATACAGGGACAATATATCAAAATTTTCTAAAACTGAATTTATATTTAACATCTGTTAAGTGCAATGGAGAGAATTCAATTTTATGGTAATACATTCTTTCCAAAGGCTTGAATCATAGGTCATGAATACAAATGGTTTTTTAAACACAAATCATACAAATAAGAAATAAAATACACAAAGACAAAACGATTAATCTATTTTAAAATCTTTTAATGATAAAAAAAATTCGGATTAAAGCTAATTTCAAACGTGCGAGGGAATACATTGTCTGTCTTTGCATCATTCCCAGTGAGATTTGGAATTTAAAAAGGATAAATAAAAGAAAACACATATACAAAATAATTAGACTGAAAATTCAAAATTGGAAGTTTGGTCGCGCTAAAGATTAATTAGTTGAGTCTTTAGGTGGAACCTAATTAGACGTTGTCTGTGAAATGTGCTTCAGTGGAGGACTAGTCCAAGATGATTAATGCCGCTATAAAATAAATCTGACATAACTAGTTTTGTTTTATTTAGAATAAGTTGACATAAATCTTTGTCAGTTTTGTAACTTCTCAAATTTCACAATTTTTTTTCATTACAAGGAAATGACCTTGACAACAAAACAGAGAACATGGAGTAAAAATGTTTATTTGTTTTTGACACAGCTAATCAACAGAATGGTTTACTGAAAATGGATTTAATTTGTACGAAAACTTGTTGGTTAAGGTGAGTGTTTATTCATATTTATTTGTGTTTTAAAATAATTTTTCCCTTTAAAATCATGAAAATTGCTGTGTAGAAATATTACATATATTATATATATCAAAGTTCTCCTGTTTGCTAACTCTTAATGATCCTTACAAATTACAAAAAATAGATTGATATATTTTGTTTCCAAAGTTTTATTCATGGACATTTAAGATATCTATTAGCTGAGGTTAATTTTTATAGAGGAACGATTGATTAGTGGATGTCGTTATAACGTCTGATATAGAAATGCATTTGTGAAGAATCATTCTTGTGAGATTTCAAGGTCATTTTTACTACGCAAATTGTTGTTCGTGTACTTTTTTGGTGAACTATTCATGAACCAAGGTCTAGAAATTATTTTGCGATTGTTTTAAAAAAGCCGTGTCATACATTCTATCTTTAAAGCATACAAAACTGGAGGAACTGCTCACCAAATGATACCCCCTGCCACCCATAGAAATATAAAAGCAGTGTCCATGTTTTGCCATAAGAAACCCCAAATATGTGTCGGATCAAAAATTAAAATAGTAGGTGCACAAAGGCAATATGTAATTAAGATTCTATGAAAGTCTCATCAAATTTCAATCAATGGTATGGGAGGAGTTGCGGATAAGAGATGGTTATCCCAAAGCGCAACGGACGGACGGACATCCCGATTACTATATACTCTCCTACTTTTCAAGGGGGAGGGGGGGTATAAAAATATATATCAAAATTATTTCGTTAATTCATTAATGTTTGTGACAGGTTTATATTTATTATTTTTTTCTATACATTGTAGTACACAAATAACGGGTTAATCAAGCAAATGAAATTCAACAAAATCATTTCGCTTCTTTTGTTATTTTGTTGAATATTTAAAAAATATTATATTAGAGAAAGTTACAAGAATAGATATATCAGATATTCTGGCATATATGAAAGAAACTAATTATTCATAGATATTCTGTGGTATAGAGATAGCAAATAATAGGGTCATTATTTCTTATGGGGGATTATTGCTATTAATAAGATTTGTTTTCATTGAATGCTTGAAAAGCTGGAGGGTATATATTAATCGGAATGCCTGTCTGTTCTTACGTTCGTCCGTCCTTCTGTTACGCTCTGCGGTATACATCTCCTATCCGCAACTCCTCTCAAACCACTGATTGAAATTTGATAAGACTCACAGAATCTTTGTTAAATATTACATTGCCATTGTGCACATCCTATTTTTTCTATTTGATCCGACACATATTTTGGGTTTCTCATTGTAAAACATGGACACTGCTTTTATATTCATACGGGGGGATATCATTAATGAGCTAATTGCTCAAAGCACCTCTAGATTTCACGTATAAAAAGTATGCAAATGAAATAAAAAACAGTTAAGAGAGTTTTGTCGCTTAAAAGAAGTCAGCGTTTCGAAATCAGTTAAAAATGTAGGGATGTATCATATGTGAAAAGTTGGTCTTAAACTCTATTTGACGGGATTTAAAATCAAATTTTTATGATGTTTGTTAATAATAAACTCTTATTCATGTAAAATATGTGCTTGTAAAACACAATAATATCACGAACCCTTCACCTGGCGTCGGAATTTCATAAATATTATGGATTCTTTGAAGATCACTCCAGAGGATGGACCAGATATGAAAAGATAGACGTTGACACTTTGTCAGCATGGATTAAATGTATCAGTTCTAAGTTTAATTCACGTATTAAAAGATTGAGGGGCAATATGTATACCATCTATCCTTGTGTATTCAATAATCAAGAAGTGAAAAAAGAATTAGATAGTTTATATGATCAGTTCGTACTGATCCCTGCTGACAAAGCAGGTAATAACATTGTCTTCGTTTGAAAGGCTCATGATCTAAATATATTCTAGAAGAACTTGGATTTCATTCTACAAGTAGTAATTCAACTTATAATCATAGTTCCCTTTCAATGGAAGAAATTCTCTCTCTCTTACGTAATTTTTGAATATTTTTGATATCCCAAAGAACAAAAATGAATTTGAACTACCATGTATAAGGGATGGGGTAAATTACATAGTAAAGTAATTAATGAAATTACAGTTACTTTCCCAAAACCTTCAATTAAATTACCATTACCATTACATGGATTTTGAAATGTAATTGATCAAATTACAATTACTTTACAAGTGTAATCAATTAAATTATAAATTACATTCAAGAAAACTTGTAGCTGCAGAACTGTTGCTCTCCGAATTTTTTTCGGAGAGCTACAGTTCTGCACTAGAAAACATGTATTAAAGTAAATAGTCATGTACATATATATGTACATTCCGTTATTTATATCAGATTATTTTACAACATTTCTTTAAAATTAATATTATTAAAATCTTCATTTACAACTTTCGATTACTGTGTCCCCTAACTATATCTATTAGATTTGAAGATTTTCCTGTCACGCTGAAGATTCTTTCCACTGAGGAATTTGTGAGAGGAATACATACATGTGATGTAGATAATGACTAGTAGAGAGTTTACTCATGTTTTAACTGTGTGTTAAAAATTTGGAATCATTTTTAAACTTTCCCATAAATTTAAAGATGCTTTTTGCCTTAATATTTCCTTATTTCAGCATTATAAGCTATATTTCAAATTGTGGGTATTTGACTTAATATTCTGTGCCCAACTACAATTTATAGTCAAAGTGTGTGTATGAAAATACCAACAGACAAAATCAAAATGTGTGAAAAATGTCTATTTAGGAATTATTACATGATCGCATGGCACTAATTAGCACCTGTTAATAACTTCTAACACAAGCTGAAGATATGGCAAACAAAGGATTAGAAGCCATTGGACTACTTATTTTTATAGGGATTAATAACTAAAAATCAAAATATGAATTTTATTTGTACACTTTACAAAGATTAATTTGATTTGAAAGTCTTTTAAGAAAATGAAAAAGGGCATTATATTTAAACAGCAATTTACTTAAAAAGGGAAATATGACTATGTTAAAATTCTTTTTAAGTTATTTTACTATCAATATATTTGGTCAAGAAGATTAGTTAACCTTAAATAATGTTTATGAGATTAAGGGAGAGGGGACTAATTTTTCATTTATTTAAAATTAGTGTAATTGAATGTAATTGAAAAGTAATTGTGAATTACATGCCTTATTGGAAAGTAATTAATTAAATTACAATTACTTGTAATTGAACATTTAGCCAATTACACATTACTTTCCATTACATCGAAATTTGTAATTAATTACAGTCAATTACCATTGCACATTACCATTACCCCATCCCTGCCATGTATATATTGGATTCCGAAACTTCATAAGAATCCTTACAAACACGGGTTCCAGTAAATGTTCAACCAAGCCTCTTTCTTTACTACACACTAAGATATTAAAAGCTGTGAAGGAGAAACTTCAAGAGTATTGCGCAACAATATATACAAGAAGTTGTGTGAATCAGATGTGGATACTCAAAAATTCCAAGGAACTTTTGGACCATTTGAAATCATGAGATTTCACCAAAATCAACAGCTTAAAAACTTAAGACTTTTCAACTTTATACACAAACATTCCCCACGATAAATTAAAGTCCAGGCTTTTTGATATCATTGACATCTGCTTTTTCAATAAAAATGGAACTCGTTAATCTACTTACCTAGTCATTGCAAACTTATTTTGGTATAAAAACGTTCTGATTGAACACACAAGTACTCTGAAGTTGACATAAAAAGATACTTGAGTTTCTGATTGACAATATCTATGTCGTTTTTGGAGACCAGGTCTTCCAGAATCTATTAGAATTTCCATAGGGTACCAATTACGCCCCGTTATGAGCAGACCTATTTTTGTATTCATATGAAGCACATGTTTTGAAAAACGCTCGCTGTGACCTTCAACTCGACATTAAGATAACTCGACGACGTATTGTCAATTAATAATGGTAATACATAACAAATCATAAGTCGATACGACATATCCTGGTCAGCTTGAGATGAAAGATACCACGGAGTCTGACACATCTGTTTCATATTTGGATATTTTACTTGAAAAAGAAGACGTTAATGGTAATCTAACAACCAAGCTCTATGATAAACGTAATGACTTTTCTATCGTCAAGTTCCCCTACTTATGCAGCAATAGACCTTCATCATCTGCATACGTTGTTTATATATCTCAGTTGATTCGATGGCAAGAACAAGCTCTACTTAGGAAAAGTTTCTAAAACGAGGTAAATTATTGATAAACATTGATGAAACAAGAATTTCAGGTGTCTCGTTTAAAGTCATCATTTTGTAAGTTCTTTGGTCGATCCAATGACCTTGTCAACAAATACAATTTATCATTAAGTCAAAAGCTGACTGACGTTTCTCATAATAAGTGTCAGTCTATTATTTATACACTGAAAAGACAACGGATTTTTCCGTTATTTCTCGATCATGACAAAAAGCAAACGGCGGCTGTGATCGGTCGGCAGGGGATGCTCACTCCTCCATGGCACCCACCTGATCCTACCTCTGATGTTTTGGAGGTCCGTGTTTGCTCGGCTCCTTTTTTGTATTGCTTTATAGACTTTTGGTCTTAAATACTGTTTGTAATCTCTATTTGTTTCATTGTTATTGAAAGATGAAGATAACGAGGGTATCAACTAAAAAATTAATGATCAATAAAATTTAATCAAAAAAAAAAAAAAAAAAAAAAAAAAAAACAACAAAAAAAAAAACATTGAAAGACCAATAACAACATAAGAGGTCCGATAAGATAAACCAAGATAAGGAGCAGCAAACATCAAATGTCAATCTTTGTTCAAACCATATTATAAAAAGTATTATAAAAATATTTCTTCATAGGTCTTCTAAAAAGGTCCTGAGGAAGAAAAGAATAAAATTATATTAAACAACAACAACAAAAATAGTAATATAATGCGATGAATAATTTATAGATAATGCTCCTGCATATTCTATCGAAGAAGCACCGTGGACTAGAAAAACAATCAGAAAGTAACAGTTTCTAATTGCCATGAGACGAAGCATTATTTCCAAGATTAAAAAGATAGATCAAGGTATAAAAGATTTAATATAGGCTCTTACGAAGATGCAAGCCGATACGCAAATAATTTGTTTTAATGGTAAATGAGAAATCAAAAGTCATTTGTTAGTAGGGCAGAAGACATGATCGTTAAAAATTTAATACCAAGAACATCAAATTGCTTCAAATGAATTAGAACTTCGTGTATGCGCCTACATGTATACTTTTCTTTAGCATAAGTATATGAAATTGAAGCTTTTCAAATTTGTGCTAGAAATGTGTAATAATAAATTTAATGCAAAATACCCAGAGATTAATTCAAAATATTACTATCAGAATTTTCCAAAATTTCTCATATTTTGTAAAATAAAGTGACATAATGACAGGAAAAGGCATGAAATTAAAATTCTGTGAAACATGCATCTTTTTGTCAACGTAGATTGCTAAATTTTCATATATTTGTTAAATTATGAAAAATAATTTTCTATACAACCCTAAAATCTCCAGAAAAGGCAATCTATACATATTTTAAGGGATATTTTAAAGCAGATATTACCAAATAGTGCCTTGTGAAATATTTGATCTCGACATAAATTTATCAAAGAGTCTGACAAGTCCGTTTTTTATTTGGATTAAGAACAGACAAAATGCCTTCAAAGCGACAACCTATATAACATGATATGACGTCAACTATCCTGTCGATAACATCCCTTATTTACGTAAAATATGTCATTATCGCCAACGTATGGGGTTGATAGGGAATGCTTGGTTCTTAGTTGATTCGATAGGCAAGATAATAATTTATTTACAAACAAGAAAAATAATTTTGCCTTAAGTCATCATTTAACAAATGATATGGTCGATATCACGACCTTATGAACAAAAACAATCTGTTTTTAAGTCGAATTTTGACTGCAAATTTTCATAAAATTTGTAGTCGCACCATTGTCAGATAAAGCTTCTACTCGGCACTTAAGGCCATTGAGCATGGAAGGACCTTTTTCGTGCCAGCACTTATTGCGACACGTGACCTCGGTTTATACGGTCTCCACGTCACACAGTGTATCAACTCCTTATTTCTCGACTAGTAAAATTTCAGAAATTCAAGAATTCATTTTTTTAAAACAACTTACCATTTTATAAAACTGATTTCAACCGATCGGTAGACGTCGCATAAGTATGATTGCGACGTTAAAATAAAGTGCAGTTCTTTCGCAGAGGTTCATAAAATGTGTTATACAAGCGAACGTATACAATAGAAGCTCTTGAAATTTAAAACGTTGAAATTTGAAAAAAAAAAATCCTTTTTCCATCAGGAAAAGGGAAAAAATCATTAATGAATAACATTTTGATATGCCCCCTCCGGAAAGTATAATATAAACCGTTTTTCTTACATACAATGTTCAATATTTTACCGGAATTTTAATGACATAATTTGTGCATAAAGTCTATTGAAGTGTTTTGTATAGTTTGGTTTGAATGCAAACAATTGGCATTTCTCCACATGATTTTCCTATTGTGGGACGTAGAGACTGGTTCTTCGGATGAGACCGTATATACCGAGGTCCCGTGTCGCAGTAGGTGCTGGCATGAAAAAGATCCCTCCCTGCTCAATGGCCCTGAGTGCCGAGATTAGGACAAAATTTGCAGCTCTCCACCGGCAAGTGGTGGCGTCTCCATATAAGTAAAAAATTGTCGAGAGGTAGGTTAAACAAAATACAATCAATCAATCATTCAATCAATCAATGTATCAATCTATCCATATAATTTTATAATTAATTTACTTGTGTTTTGAGACTGTCCCCTAGATTAAGTAGACGGTATGTTCTACCTTGAATTTGCAGGTACACTAAAGTCAATGTACATGTAAGTTATATATGCGATAAAACTAAACAATTTTTCTATTGTAGCCCCCCCCCCCCCAAAAAAAAACAACCACCAGTCGGCTCCTAACAGTAATAAAATAAGGAGTTGTACTTGTTGTTTAGAAGCAAATTAGCATTACAAAACAAATATTAATGGATGATTTTCCGTTCTTTATTGCTATATTCGCGTTGAGGGCGTTATAATCAATCCTTAACATAAAAGTACAATATATAACACAGCGCGGATATAATGAATAATACATTTTCTTCATTGTTTTTGCCATACATACGTGATTGCATTTAAATCAAGTGTTTAGAGATTTATGAATTTTAAGTGACTTAAAATATGCAAAACATTTGATTTCCTATTCTATAACTTTATGTGTGGGAATAATAGTAAGTTTCAGTGTACCTATGCAAGCATAGTAATGGATAACGTCTAGTCAATGTTCCATCTTTTATTGTCCTATGCGTCCAATTCCATACCTTCAAGTTATTTCATTGTAGCTGTTGAAATGTAATTGGATAACTTCTTGTTTTTTTCTTTGTAGCAGTGGAGTGAAGTTTGATTAACTTCCGGAATGTCACCTTTAATTTTTGTTACGTTTATGGTTTTGTGGTTCAAAGTGGGGGATATGAATGAACAGAATTATACAGAGCTGGGGCAGAGCGTGATCGATCAATGTCAAGCCAGGTGTCATCTCAAGGTAACTGATTATATATTAATCAGTACTTATATAATGTCAAAGTCACTTGATAATGTATAAATTTTTACTTATATAATGCAAGGTAACTTGATTACTTACAAATTACTTATATTATGTAAAGGGAACTTGATTATATATCAGTCATTACTTATATTATGTCAACTGAAGTTAACTTGATAATGTATAAATTATTACTTATATTATGTCAAGGTAACTTAATAACGTAAAAAATGTTTCTTATATTATGTCAGTATAACTTGAATATATATCAACTAATAGTATTATTTATGTTATGTCAAAATGACCTGTTTGTATAAATATTATGACTCGTATATGTCAAGGTTACTTTATAATATATAAATCATTTCTTATATTAAATGATGTCAATGTATTTTAATTGTTGAAACAGAACGACACTTATATATAAATTGAATTACTTAATACATATATTTACCAATGACCTTACATGTATATGGCATAACGCTATGTAATTAACAGAAATTGCATAAGGTTTATATCTCTCTGTTGATTCGATACGCAAGAGCATGCTCTACGTGTGAACAATTTCTAAAACAAAGTAGCTTATTAGCAGAAAGATTGTTCACCATGCACGAATATCAGCAGTCTCGTTTAAAGTCACCAATTTTTAATTTCTATGGTCGATACAATAATACAGTTTTTCATGGAGTAACTAACTTTTAGTCCAATATTTACACACTGAATTACCGACGGATTTTTCCGCTATCTCCCGATCATGACAAGGAGCACATGAAGTGTGTGACCTATCGCCAGGGGGTGCTCACTCCTCCATGACACCTGATCCCACCGGTGATGTTATGAAGGTCCGTGTTTGCTCTGCTCCTATTTAAGAATTGTTTTATGGATTTTTGTGCTTGAATACTGTTCGTTATCTCCATAAATTTCATACCCCAAGAATTGCTCAATCCTGTATTGCACTCAGTTCCACCTCTGATGTTTTATTGGTAAACGTTTAGTCTAGTCTGCTCCCCATTTGTATTGTTACAATAGACTTTGGTGCATGGTCTACATGTAATCAAGTTAATTACTGCTTCAAATTAGTATCCCTTTCAAATTAAAATAAAATTAGCTTTGTTTTGTCTTGGTCTAGAAGAATATAAGAGAGGTTAATTCTTAAAGAATTTGTGCACACCTATAATGACCTTCTAAATTTAAAACAGCTAATTTTATTTCAGCATTTCAAAAGAAAATCGACTATCCCAGTTAGAGTCGATTTGAAATTTATAGATCTGACAGTCTAATTGATGTATGTATTAAAATGATGACTGTATACTTCTTTTTGCTGTGTAATAATTCCAAACCTTTCCACGAAAATCTTTCATACTTTAATCTCTTTAACTGGGGCTGAAAAAGGAACGATGTATGTGTAAGCACACATTTTCACATACATCCAATGTTTAAAATCTCATAACATTTATATAAAAAAACATATCATTCTTGTATTTTTTACACTATAGAAATCTATTAGAATACCGTATTTATTTAAGTCAGCAACTGCATGAGAAACTCATTTCTTATTCCAAGCAAATGTAAAAAAAAAGACAGAAATAGGCCTCTTTTTAATTAATCTTTTGAAGCATAACGACCTCTGAACATAACTCTTTTTTTTCGAGAAAATGTGTGTATCTTCACGTGTTATTTAGGGCATGTTTTTATGAAAAAAAAAAAAATAGAAATTCTTTTTAAATGGCACACATTTTCCAGAAGTGGATTGTCTACATTTTTGTGAAATGTTCCTTGTGTTTTAAAGGTGAATGACCGACAACACAAATTGCAAAGACACAACAATAGAAATTTGTTTCTATTTTTTTTATGATTAATTTTACGAAAGAATAACTTTGACAGATTACGTTTTCTATAGTAATCTACAACGAGTACTTCAACCATTCCACCTCTTCATTTTTTTTTTTAATTTACTTTTACTTTTAATGTTTGAACAATATGTATGAGGAGGAAATTAAATTAGGTTTGTTTGTTATTTTTCGTCCCTCTAAAGGTTTTTGCACTCTTATTAAAGAAATTAAACTTTAAAGATCAAAGTATCTTGTTCATTGAAATCAGAAACGTGGAAAAAGATTTTGAGGTCTCATCCGGAAGATAAAAAAAATATTCTAAAATGCCAAGCGCTTGAAAATTGAACAGGTACCAATGTATCATAAATATATTTTTTTATTAAACGCACAACTTTCCGAAAAAGGAGGATAAGTTCAACCGACAGATCTACATTGTTCTGCCAGAAAACTGAACACCCAGAAATGCTCACATTCTGTTACGTAAAAGAAAAGGAAAATTTATATGTTGACAGTCGTAACCTGTTTTATAATTTATTAGCAGAATTGTACAACAAATCTCACCAGTAGGTCCGTCAACCTCAAACCATAGATTTCCTCGACAAGGTCAAATTTAGACGTCCATTTATAATTTTGTAAAATTAATATGACTTTTAAATTGGATAAAAACCATGGCTATTTATATCAAATTTAATTTTGTATAGAAGCTACTATATATGATGATAAGTTAATCAAGAATATCATGCTTAAAAATTTCGCTTATGTTATTTTAGTGAAAATAGATGAAACTAACAAAACTGAATTCTTTGTCATAAATTCTTAAAATTTAATTGATGACCCCTTTTTTTTTTCTTGAAAACCTTTTTATAGTTTGTTTTTATCACGCAATCTAGTATCCCTTGTGCTCTTTAAGTACATAACAATATTGCTTTGTCCTTCAAATGTTCTTTGTGTAAGTATAATTTGTAAAATCAGATTTAAAATACATTTTGCTATACTTCAAAACTTTTTCTGGTCTTTTATGATCATGAATGCTAGAATAGTTATGCGTAGCATACTTGTTGCGTCTTTTAAATATTCTTTGCATAAGGACAATTTGTTTAGATTAGACTTAAATCATCTTTAGCTAAAAATGAAATTTTTTAAACGATATGTTTTTTTTAATTGCTTTTTACACTTTGATTCTAAGGAAGAGGAATATTAATTTTCATAATCTATTCGACATCTCCCTATTCAGTGTATGACCAGAGGATGATAAACTTGCCTTGTTCTAACATCATGATGATAAAGATCATCTAAACAATAATTGACATCAATCTTGCATGAATTCATATGTAAAGCATATGGAACAAGGGAAAAAGCTTGTTATATACAATATATCACTTTTACCTGCATTTTGCTATGCAAAGACTACATATCAAAGCTCAAAGCCTTTAAGAGAACGAATTTCTTTTGTCATTGTAGTTTTACTTTCATATATTTTTTTAATTTATGGTTTTCTTTCACAATCACGAAATTGTAATTATTTGTTTTAGAATATCAAAGAAACTGGAGATTACAACTGTAATTCAATGAATTGTAAACAGGTAGGAAATTAAAATATATCTTTATCAGGGCTGTTTCAAAAGGTAAATAAAAAACTTTGACGTAATGACTGAAAATTTCCGATTTTTTCCCCAGGCAAATTGCAATTTTCCCAAACTTAAATATTTCTTAACATGAAATAAAATAAATGAACGGAATATTCACATTATCTTCAGTTTGACAATACTACAAAAACATTGAAGATTTAAATGTCCTCCAACGCCATGACTTTCTTTTGCTGTTATAGTTTGCTTTTGTTTTAGTGTCTAAAACCATGCTTCTTCACAGAAAAGGAAAAAGAGCGTTGTCAAATGGAATGTGTAAGTAATAAGGACCACATTCCGGATTCTAAAGTAACTATAATCAATTATTCGAAGAATTGGCAAACAGTGGTATTAAAGTCCAATCATTTCCATTTTCTCTCAGCGTTATTTTTCCATTTTTTAACTTGCCCCAACTTCCGATGATATTAGATGTAGTTGTGTGCTTTGCTCTTGATGTTTTGTTCTTTACATGAACTTTTGAGTTGAATTACTGTTCGATCGATATCTCTATATTTTTTTTAGAAAAATGAACATAGAGACTGTATTTTAATCTGCCTCTTCATGGAAACTGCATCAGATAATAAAAGTTTTCCTAAACCAGGTTTGTATCATACAAGCAATAAATTTTAGATGGTAAAGTAAACATTTCCAGTTTCCTTAATCTAGGCCAAAAAGGTGTCGCCCTTGTGTTTAAAAGATTTTGTCTTCATCCCATCCCATGCATATACATAAAGAAGTATAATACTTTGAAATCGAAAAGAAAAATTGTTTTGGAAAATAAATGTTGTCTATATTTTGACTTTAATGAAAGCTCATAAACAAATTAGGACTACTTGAACTGTTTTTTTTTCTCAGTAAAAGAACATAAAAAGTGAAAAAATGTAAAAAATTCTTCAATGAACTTTTAGGTACGCTGAAACATGTTGCTTTGCAGACATGTCGAGTTAATATTCCTGCTTATGGAAACCAATCTGGAACGTTTAACATCTCTCTCAGATGGTCTTTAGAAAATGCCAGTGGAGATTTTATAGAATACACAGTTTGGAAAAAAGTAAAGCAGCAAGAGGAAGAATATTGGCAGCTTATTTCTGTTGTAAGCATATCATAAAACATAATATTTTATTTGATAAATTAATACTCATGTCTAAAATAACAGGAGAGAGAGAGAGAGAGAGAGAGAGAGAGAGAGAGAGAGAGAGAGAGAGAGAGACAGAGACAGAGAGAGTTTGGATGTTTTCTAAAATGTATTTTGAGAATAATAAGAAATTGACGGCTATATAAGTCAACTATTTATAAATTATCAATTATCACTGCAATGTAATGCTGTGCACTGCTTAATGTCCCAGCATCAGGTACATTTTTATTACACTGGTTTTCAGACAAATGCAACATCATGGAAAATCGAAGATCTTAACCCTGATTTGCTTTACAAATTTAAAGTTATTCCAGTGTTTCATGATGGCATTAACATGATACAATCTACTGAAACCGAATGGATCCAATCATTCAAAGGTAAACCAAGTTCAAAGCATAAATAACCGCTTCACAGTCCATCAAGCTCCTAGCATTGATCTCCAGACAAAGATACCTGAAGAAATTTTTCGTAAATAACACCGATTGAAACTCTGAATTGGATATTGCATTGCGAAAAAGTAAAAAAAATGATTTTGGAAATGGGAATAGCTATATTTGAATTTGCAGGCCAAGCACTTGATAAGCAAGAAAACATTTTCATGAATAAGTTTAATATTCAGCTCATTCAATATAACCTGATTTGAGTTAATACATGATTTACAAACAAGATAAATAGTAACTGTCTGATGTTTCGTACTACAATTTTATGGTTGGAGGCAAGGTTTGTATAGGGCATTAAATCCACCTATACCCAAATGCACCACAGTTAATCCTTCATTTTAATCAAATAATTAGTAATTTATAATATTTTTGCTCTTTCAGTAGTCTGGAAATCTTTAAAGTAATTTAAACGATAAACAGCATGCCTTGTATTTCGAAGCTGTCAAAACTGTTGTCATTGACTTATTTAAAGGGCTATGATAATTCCATGTTTTGTTAGATAATGGTCCATATTCAGTTCACTTACATACAGTAATTATTAAAATGTAAAAAATACAAACTTCTTCAAATCATCTCTATGATTAAAATCGTTTCAATTATCAATTATTTGAAACTTCGAAACTAATTCAGAATCCTTAAAAAGTTTAGCGAAAAGCAGATTCTAGTATATACAAAATGTTAAAAAAAATCATATGGATTGTACTAAATCATTTGAATGTAATGATAATTAAATGGAAAACTTCAATATGTTTTTTAGAACTATTAAATTAATTTCACCATCAAATTAATTTCACCCAAGACTAACAATAAAACAAACAGTAAATCTTCTTGACCTAGCAGCTACATGTACGTTACTAAAGTATGTACTGAGATTCTATAAACAACTATTGATTGGTCTAGTACAGATGTGTTTTTTGTTAAAAAACAATTTATATAATCGAAATGAAAAGTATTATTTCTTATCGGTAATTACTTTGAAGTAGACAACGTCAATCTGTTTGAATGTCCTTTTTTCAACTGAAATTTTGTATTCTAATGAATTAAAATAAATACGTTTTATATTGATTCAGCACACCAGGGCATGTTAAGTTAAACCTTAAAAAGTTACAAAAGTTAAAGGCATCTATAAATGGAGGTCTATGTTTGCTTTACTCCTTCTACTTGTATTGCTTGAATGGACTATTAGCTTCAATACTGTTCGATATCCCCATTCCTCATTAATGTCACATGACTTTGGAAAGTTCCTCTTAAATCAGCTTTTTTTTCTTCTTTTATTGAATACCATGTTTACTCTTTTATCCTTTTTGTTAAAAAGAGTAAAATACAGAAAATTACATAATGGCCTCTTAAAGTTGTTATATTTTTTCTTATTTCACAGCAGATACCAATTTACAGAGCCCACTCTCACTCTCTGTATCGAATGAATCTGTGGACGAGAAATCGGTCAAAGTAAAGTTGTCCTGGGAACCACCCCCTGGTAAGACGTTAATCATACATGTAGCTTATCAAAATTACAATCAAAGATTACGTCACAATTACAATCATACCTTACGTCATAATTACATTTAGATTCTTTATCCCTCAGCTCACTTTAAAAAGTTTCATTATGATTATCCTAAATGTTTCTTTGATACAGAAAAAATTACCTGATCGATCGACAAAGGATTCGCTCAGTGTTTATGCCCTGTTCACATAATTGTATTGTTTATAGATTTCATGATCACCTATTTTCATTTTCACCTCCTCCATGGCACCTGATCCCACCTCTGTTATTTTGGAGGCCCGTGTTTGTTCTGCTCTTATTTTTTTTAATGGACTTTTGATCTTGAATACTGTTCGTTATCTCTATATGTTTCATTGAAAACCTGCAATAATTTTTTCAAGGCTTCATTCAATAACATTTATTAAAATCATTGTCAAAGCTGGCTTCCAATATGTCTATCAATTCTCTATTTTAGATGCATGTAAAAATGTTCGTGGATTTTTGCTAATCCCAATAGTACACTCCAGCTGTCCTTAAAGGTCAAGTCCACCATTAAGTCTCTTATCTTGAATAATGATTTAGTGCACAAGCTTTTTAGTATTATTGCTTTTTTCAGATAATCCTTGCTTCTTCAAGCTATTTTGGATGTCTGCAAACTGTGAATCCTATAAAAGTCGTACCATCGACATGTCAGTAAGTGCTAAGCGTTTTCTAAGTCTTCATACTGATAAAAAAGAAGACAAATTTACCTTTAATATCAAAGGGAAGAGATATTTCCTCTGAAATTGTTATTGGTTAGTTTTCTTTTCGAAGACGAATTGTAACATACATATATTTTAATCTAACTTTCCACTGATATCAATAACAACACTATATATTGTATAACTATGAGCCTATCCTTTTCTTTATCATGAAAATTTTTTTTAGCTAGAATTCTTTTTTTTCATATGGTATGCTTAAGTATGGATATTCGTAGAATACATTTCGTTTCAGGCAATATCTGTTTGTCCTGTAACTTGTATTTTACTTTTATTTCAGTCATTATCTAGACCAAGTTTATGGTTGTCGAATTTGGGCTTTGGATGTGATTATAAGTTTGATATCCAGAGTTCTGTAGATCCCATTTTCAGCAGAGTCAGCAATTTTACTGTGACGTCATACCGCACGATTGACTGTTTGCCAGCGACGTCATTTAACTATTCTCTCTGTGGTATAAATTTTGGTCAAATTTCAAACAACTATACGCTGACATTTTAGAAGAATTTCTACTATTACAAATATCAAATACCACTTAAAACATTAAACGTATAATAATTATTACATGCTGTAAAGAAATCGATTAGCTAAAAAGGTTAAAAGATACAATTTATTAATGCATTTCCTTTGTTGAGTTGTGCAGTCTACCTGACTATACTCTGGGCATTCAAGATTCGTATCTATGTTTAGACGTGGGTTGATTCCTTGTCATTATTGTCACTTTACATTAAAAAAAGGAATGAAATGCAAACATATTATGAAAAATTACCGTATCTTCTCATATATCATATCATTAAAATCTCGCTCTACTTTCATCTTAACAATTGTCTAGACTTCAGTCTAGATTGATTTTATTTGTTTTGTAATGTTTTAACAACTTCAAAGGGTTTCATGTATGTTAATGAAAACAGAAAGAAAAATACCTAAAAATTCATGTAAAACTTTTTATTTGTTGATGATTTATGCTTGTTTCTTTTACCTTAAGCCCCAGAACAGCCATCAGAAATCACAATAAAAACTGTGAAAACGTATGTAGATGAGGTCAATAAAATGACAGCCGGGGACATTGTACTATCTTGGAGTCCTCCCCCGCACGCCAGCGAGGATAACAACATCTCCGTGTACAGAATAGACTTCAGTAAAGTAGCCCGCCTCCACAGACTTCAGTACCTCGTACCCCACAGTAATGTCACGCATGTGTTAGGGGTAAGAAGGAAACTCAGTTCTTTTCCTTATTTTATTTACCATGATTTTTACATGTAACCATGTTGTGATCAATGGAAGGTAATTGATTTCTGATACTGTATACGGGGTTATTTTGCCCCGTGTTATTTTGGCCATTAACAATTATGCCATATTTTAAATTCGCCCGATCACACTTCCGTTAAAGACTTTTAATTTGCCCCGTTTAAAATTCTCCCACTTGTGCCACGGGCGAAAGGGGCGAAAATAAAACGGGGTGAACATTTCCCTGTATACAGTAAATGGTAATTGAAGAAAGTTTTATATTTAGAAACACGATTCATTAACAAGAGGCCCATGGGCCTTATAGGTCACCTGAGTATCATGTAACAACTTTCCAACAATGGAATTGGTTCTTGTTTTAAATCAAAGGCCATGAAATTCGCAATTTTGAAAGAGGCACCATTGCTTATCATAACTATATCCTTCGCTTGCTTACTTTGGTTATTTAATACTCAGAGTTAGATCAGAGTAACAAAGAGAAAATGCATTTCCACATTATTAGCAGTTGTGCATCCCACCCCACAAGAACCACTGACCATTGGGGCACATATTTCAAAATTCTGGAAATTTTATCATAAATTTTAATGCATCATAAATGATTGATTAATACCAAAAAGCAGAATTCAAAGCATTAATTTTTTTTTCAGACTATGTAAACCCCAAACCCACCCGAAGTACCCTGACCCAGGGGTCCTGAAATTGACCATTTTTGAAGAGGCGCTTTTCATCATCATTAATATGTACTTAGAACATTGGCATAATACCCAGGAGAAAAGGAAAAAGTTTTCGAAGAATTCATGCATTGTCACTTTATAATTATTAGAGCCCCACCCTAACACCAAAACCCCTGACCCTGGGGCCCTGAGATTCACAATTCTGGAAGAGACATCCTTCCTCGTTATAACTATGTACATAGTTCATTGGTTTAATACTCAGGAGCAGAGGAGAAGATTTAAGAATTAAAAATTTAAATAAATAAAGAGAATAAATGTATTTTCACTATATAATCAATAGAGTCCCATTCTAACACCAGAACTCTGACCCTGAGGCCTTGAAATTCACAATTTTGGAAGAGGCACTCTTATTCAACATAACTATGTACTTGTTTAGTTATTTAATACCCCAGGCGCAGAGAAGAAGATTTTCAAAGAATTAATGTATTTTCACCGTATAATCAATAGAGTCCCGCCATAACCCCAGAACACCCAAACCAGGGGCCATGAAATTCACAATTTAAGAAGAGACATTGTTGCTCATCATAACTATGTACATGGTTAGTTTGTTTCGTACTCAGGAGCAGAGAAGAAGATTTTCAAAGAATTTATGCATTTTCACTATATAATTAATAGAGCCCCGCCCTTACACAGAACCCCTGACCCCGGGGCCATGAAATTCACAATTTTGGAAGAGAGAGCCTTATTCAACATAACTATGTACTTGGTTTGTTTATGAAATGCCCAGGAGCAGAGAAGAAGATTTTCAAAGAAATAATGCATTTTCACGATATTATCTATTTAGCACCGCCCTAGCACTAGAACCCATGATACCAGGGCCATGAATGACACAATTTTGGTAGAGGACTCAATGCTGATTACAATCATGCAAACAGTTTGACTGGTTGATGTCCAGGAGTAAAGAAGATTTTTAAAGATTGCATTAATTTTAGTGGTTTTGGCCCTACCCCTCAGGCCCCAGGGGGGCAGGGACCATGAAATTCACAATTTTTGTTCCCCTTCGCCCATAGATGCTGTAAAAGAAATTTGTTTGAAATTGGTTGAGCGGTTGCAGAGAAGAAGCTGAAAATGTTCAAATGTTAACGCACAACGCACGACGCACGACGACGGACAAAACGGAATTTACTTAGGTGACCTAAAAATCATTCAAGACAAAGTGCTTTTCCAACAGCAATGTATTACTATCTAATAATGCTGTAATAATTAATACCGTTATGTTTAAAAAAAATCTTTAACTAACTTTACTGATTACGTATCTTAATTTACCTTTAATATACATGCTAGTTTGGGTTTTTAGAATCAAACTTGGGTTGTAATAAGGAAACTCCACTGGTTTAACGACTATCGGTTTACTATTGTTGGAATATCTGAAGGCGGAGAGAGTAAAGAATGTTCAAAGACCTTTAAACTTGGTAAGATTCTTCAGACTCATTAAATCTGCTTTCGGAGTGAAAGATGTATACAATTCTAAAACCTAATTTGATAGGTGAAGGAAATAGTTGCATAGTTGAGAGAGAGAGAGAGAGAGAGAGAGAGAGAGAGAGAGAGAGAGAGATGTCGTTTTATGTTTTGATGGTTTACATATCTTTGCCTCTTTTATGAAGGATTATGAGACGGAATGTGAAAGGAACATTTTTTTCTGAACGCATGTGTCTTGAAATATTTGACAATTAAATAATTGTTTATGGCATTATTTCTTTATCTAGGTGAATTTGCAAAATTGACGGCCAAGAAAGAAGACACGGAGCAAGGTTAAAAGGACTTTGTTTAATTTTTTTAGATTTCAAATGTTTTTAAAAAATATTTCCATTCAATAACGTAAACAAGATGTGTTTGTGAAACACTAATGCCCCCGTATGGCAACATAGCGAAGGTTAAGCTTTCTCAAATGCAGATCAAATATGTTGGTACGCGTACATAAAGTAAGCCCTTTTCACAAGAAATACAGATGTGAAATATAAAACCCTAGCACCACCTGTTCAAGGGTTATGACCAAGGTTAACATTTTTAAAGGTATGACAAACTCTGGGGTCAAGGTCAAAGGGTCAAGGTTGTTGGTTTCTAAAGAAAGGCCTTGTCTCAAAGATTACATATGGGAAGTATGAAAGCGCTGCCCCTTACAATTCAAAAGTTATGGCCAAGGTTAAAGTTTGTAAAAGTAGGTCAAACTCCAAGGTCAAGGTCCAAGGTTCAAAGTTGTTGATATTCAATGAAAAGTCTTCTCACAAGGATTACATATTTGAAGCATGGAAGCCCTATCGCTTACTATTCAAAGTTATGACCAGGGTTAAAGTTTTTTCGTAAGTACGGAAATCTCCAAGGTCAAGGTCTAAAGGTCAAAATTGTTGATTCAAATGAAAGGTCTTGCCAAAAAGAATAGATATTTGAAATATGAAATTCCTAGTATTTACCGTTTAAAAATAATAAAGCCCTAGTCCTGACCCTTCAAAAATTATGGTCAAGGTTGTTTTTTTAAAGTAGGTCAAACTCCAATGTCACGGTCAAAGGGTCAAGGTTGTTAGTATCCAATAAAGTGTCCTCTCGATGGATTAGATATGTGAAGTATGAAAACTCTAGCTTTTACCATTCAATAGTAATAGCCAAGGTTAAAGTTTTTCATAAGTACAAAAATCTTCAAGGTCAAAGTAAAAAGGTCAAAGTTGTTGGTATCCAGTGAAAGGTCTTTCCACAAAAAATATATATATTAAGTATAAATATCCTGGTATCTACTGTTCAAAAGATATGGCCAAAATAAAAGTTCAAAAATTTTGGGTAAAAGTGGGTCAAACTCCAAGGTTAACATCAAAAGGTCATAATTAGTAGTATTAAAGAAAGGTTTTTTCACAGGGAATACACATGTGAAGTATGAATGTCATAGCTCAACTAAATCAAAAGTTATGGGCAAGGTTAAAGTTTTTGCGGACAAACAGAAAAGAGACAGAGAGACAGCTAGACAGACAGCCAGAGATACAGACAGACAGACAGCTAGACGGACGGATCCGACAAAACTATATACCCCCGAAACTTCGCTTACGGGGGCATAGAAATATTGATAATTTGCATTTGTGATTTTCATATATAATGTTAATTTTATGTTTATCAGATTGTATATAGTATGTATATTAACCAGTTAGCTATATATGTTATATTACTTGTCATTTTCAAGCCATCTATCAACAGGGTAAATTAATCTTCCAAGTGTGAAGAAACAGAAATGAAATATATTTCAAATGTAATCGCTAACATCGAAATATTCTCCGTATTAAAAAATTATGCTTTGTATCTGAAAAAAATTCTTTCTTAAGGACATGAAAAAATTATAAAAAACAGGTAAAGGCAAAGTAATTTTAAAAAAATGACTTCAAATATCTTTAACAATTACTGTCTTATAAACATCCTCATTAAAAATAAATTGACATTAAGTGGCTGTCTTTTAAAAATTCCAGAGGAGAAGAACGAGTCTGTGATAGCTGTGGTGGTGGTGGTTGTGGGAGTCCTGCTGGCCTTTATACTTGTCTGTATTATCAAAAGGAAAAGGTCCAGAGAGGAACAGGAAACGGAAAGGAAAACCAGCGACGAGGTGCAGAACAGTAACTTAACATTTACTCACACGTGAATAAAAAATGGTGAGGTACAGAAAACCCATGTAAAATTCCCTTAGGCTTATTAAAAAAATTAGCGACGATGTACATTATGAAAAGTACAAGCCTTGAATATACTCACTCTCAGGTAAAAAAAAACAATGATGAGGTAGAATTCACTCCCTTGAAATATTCAATCTCACGTTTAATAAAAAGTGATGGAATACAGAACACCCCCTTAAAATATAGAATACTTTCTCTCATGTAAAGCACTAATTTCATTATTTAGTTTGATCCTAAAACGAGGTAAGTTATTGACAAGCAAGTTAATGAAACAAGAATATCAACAGTCTCGTTTAAAATCATAATTTCGTAAATTCTATGGTCGATACAATGACCTTGTCAGCAAATACAATTTATCATTGAGACAAATGCTGACATTTTTCATACTAATTTTTTTATCCATTATTTATTCACTGAATTGACGACGGATTTTTCTGTTAATTCCCGATCATAACAAGGAGCACAAGGCGGGTGTGACCGGTCAGCAGGGGATGCTCACTCCTCCATTGCACCTGATCCCACCTCTGATGTTTCGGAGGTTCGTGTTTGCTCTGCTCCTATTTTGCATTGTTATATGGAATTTGAGATTGAATACTATTCGATATCTCCATATCTTTCATCCAAATTACCATTAGTATGTGATGAAAGTACTGGATAAGAATAAACATATCAAATCTGTGTATAAAATTACGGAAATTGAACCTGTAGAAAAACGACATTTGAATCTTGCATGTTATGCATACTTGCGTCAATTATTGCTGTATACTTACTTAACAGTTTTATAGGGATATCTCATTGGGAAGCAATATTTGCGCATATAACGAATTTACATTCCCAAGAGAAACTGTGCTGTCCACATACTGTCCGATTTATTGAATCTCATATAAAAAAGGAGTTACGCACGGCATTTTGTCCCTACGAGCAAGTCAATGTGTGCATGCCCGAAATACTGACATCGATCAACAAAGAGACCATTGCACAGAAGTTAAAAAACAAAACAATATCAAGATTGAAATCAACATGATCAATGAACTTGTAAAATATTGATATGAAGGAATGAAATTCCAGGCCTTTAACCCTACGGATATGACAACACACATTTTAAGTAATTTTGTGTAGGCAAATTCAGCTTATACGTATCGCACAATGAGAAATGCCGCGTATTAAAAGTAATTATAGAATCAGCTAATTTTATTTTTAACAGTTTAAAAAAACATTACCAAAACAGCCTTTTTTTCGCTTTCTCCGCAAACGTTACTTTTTCAGGAAAGCATACTCCTCCACCAAGCTGAAAACTTTTTAAAATGTCTCTACCAAGTAGTTTAAAATACGAGAATGTAAGAAAATATATTTTATTACTGAAGAGTCAAAAGGGAGATATGGTTTTCTTGTCTTGAATAAAATAGAAATTGACGAAATATAGTGTTTATATTATTTCATAAATCGGAATTGCAAGTTGATTCAAAAGATCAAACAAAATACATCGATGCTTTGAGTTACACAACATCTGCAAAAAGCAAGTCTGACAATAAAAACATTGCTCAACATTTCATAACAACATAAACTCTGAGATTTGACGAAATGCATGAAAAATATTTTGACATGATGGCTATATTTCCCCCAAAGCTTTACCTAAATCAAAAGACTAATAACATGCAAAAAGCATCATAACAGAGATGATTTGATAAAATTTAGCAATAATGACGCTACTTAGCTACACAATTTATAGCCCTCAATAAAAATCAATAACAAAATCCAAAATGAAAAAAATGCCTTTCTTTGTATTCAAGAGAGCTAAGGACTGCAAAAAAATCTTAAACTACTTACTTGCTCGACATGTTCATTTTCTCAAATTAAGGAACACCAGTGAAATTTCATTGAGTCAAAATTTTATCCAATTAAGTAAAGCTAAAGTATGGAAAAAACGAGGAGTTTTTAAGCTCAAAAGTCCTTTCATATGATAAAAATTACATAAAGTAGGAGCCCATCAAACAATGTCTCCTAAGGCAAGCTATTTGTACAAGAAGATGTAAGCCTATCTCAGAAAATAGTACATGAAATAAGATTATGAGTACAAAGACTAAAGGCAGGCCAAACAGTCAACAAGGGAATTAATTGAGGGACTAAAAAAAATTCTTAAAAACTATTTGGTCATTTTTTCCTCTGTAGATGACTTTATGATTTTTAAGCATGGATTTTGATATCCCTTGAAAACCAAAACGAATTCTTGGCACTAGCAGTCTAATCATGTACCCCAAACTGTCGTCTATTGACATCAGAATACATCTATTGTAGACAATATTAACATCTTATGTAGTTTATTGATTGATTGATTGTTTACTGTTTAACGTCCCTCTCCAGAATATTTCACCGATATGGAGATGTCACCATTGCCGGTGAAGAGCTGCAAATTTTGGCCTATGCTCGGCACTTACGGCCTTTGAGCAGGGAGGGATCTTTATCGTGCCACAACTGCTGTGACACGGGGCCTCGGTTTATACGGTCTCATCCGAAAGACCGCCCCATTTAGTCGCCTTTTACGACAAGCAAGGGGTACTGAGGACCTAATCTAACCCGGAATCCCACGGGTCTCTTATGTAGTTTAATTGTGGGATTAAACATCCATTTTTTGTCCAAACATACCTGAAATATATTGAGATAACAAACTGTATTCTAGCTCAGATATCCATTAAACAATACGAAATAAGAGCAGAGAAAACACGGACCTTCAAACAGCATAGCTAGGATCAAGAGTTATGGAGGAGAGAGGCTCCTCTGTCGACTGTTCACACCCGCCGTGGGCTCCTTGTCATGAAGTTTATGAAGTTTTATTGAGTTCTTAAAAACATCAATGCTTGTCACTTCTCTCAATCTTTTATTGCAGGCCTACAATCCTCTATACGTGGCCACATCGCAGTCCTCCTGTGAAGATCCCCTCCTGTCAGATCACATGGAGATATGCTTCGAAAACCTCCATCTTTTGGAAATCATTGGTGAGGGAGCGTTTGGTAAGGTCCATAAAGGGGAATATATACAGGAGGACGGAAAAAGATGCACCGTGGCTGTGAAAATGCTGAAAGGTAGGTCATTTACAGCAAATATTAGCAACTTTTATTTTACAAGCTGTCTTGGTTGCTTGGGGTACAAGACCAAGCAACCTGGTTTTTCATTTTTTCCAGACTGCTCAATAGCAATCGTCCCTTGGTACCTTATGCTACCAGGCCAACAAAATATATATAATTTTTGTAATGATATGATTACATGTACTTGTTTGCTATTATCCTGGTCATTGAAGTATAATAAAGGAGCTTGGTATTTTTTTCTTTTATCATATTGCATTATTATTATTATTATATTATATGTAATGCTTACATGTACACTGTGAACTATACCAGTATTTCAAATCTGAAAACTTTTACAAGTGAGGTCAAGTCAATTTTGCATTGTTATAATCATGATTATATTGTTTGTTTCTTAATTGTATATGCCCCCAGAGGGCCCTTGATTTGTGAATAAATAAATATAATATAACATTTTTGACTGCATTTATAAAACTTTTCATTTCGATTGCTGTAAGACTGTTATCACAAAATTGTTTTGGTAAGGGCAAATACCTACACTGATTTTTTCCCAGAAACTTTTGATTACATTCTTATTTATTGTTCACAAACTTGAAACATTTTAATCGGGCTTTCTCTTTCTTTGAATTTTCAGAGATTAGAAAAGGTCGATGTCTTATTTTAATAAGTTGTTTGAAAAATGTCGAAAGAAAAACTCAAATCGCTTTTCTTTTATATACTAAGTATTTGAGACTCAGTAGATTTATCATAAAAGCTATTTCCTGCCCTTTGAGTGCAAAAAAAAAATATCATCGATATCATTATTGGTGATTGAAGAAGCCCTTTTTTAAATTAACCTCCTTGTTCAACAGAGTTTGCAGATAAAACAGAAGAGAAGAGCCTAATGACGGAGATTGAAGCCATGAAACAGCTGGGAAACCATCCTAACATAGTGGGGATGCTGGGCTTCTGTACAAAGCCGTCCTCCCTCTGTCTGTTGATGGACTTCTGTCCCCTGGGTGATCTACGACAATATCTCCTTAACTGCAGGCATCAGGTCAGTAACTTGTCTTATTGAGCTTTTCCTGTCTGTATTGTTCAATAAACCAACTTATTTCTAAATGATTTAGAATAAGAAACTTTTGTAAAGTAAAATATATCACATTATTTATTAGTACATGTATTTCTTTTTCGAGCCCGGAAGTTGATCCTTATATTATTATGTTAAACGATGTAAATTATTGACAAACAAGTTGCTCAAACACGAATATCAGCAGTCTCGTTTAAAGTCATCTAAGTTCTATGGTCGATACAATGATCTTGTAGGCAAATACAATTTATCATCAAGTCAAGTGCTGACTGACAATTTTCATACCATTTTTATAAACACTGAATTGTCAAGGGACTTTTTCCGTTACTTCCCGACAAGGACCACACGGCGGGTGTGGCGGGCCGGAGGGTGATGCTTACTCCTTAATGCCACCTGATCCCACCTCTGATGTTTTGGAAGTCCGTGATTCCTATGCTCCAACTTTGTATTGTAAAATGGACTCTCCGGCTTAAATACTGTTCGTTATTTCCATAAATTTTGTGCAAATTATATCACCAATATCTGATGGAAAACAATACCTAACTACGAAGAAAAAATGTTTATTAACTTATGTTATTTTTTTTATAACATTTGTATGAATGGCAAGTTATTTGTTGATTTCAGATGATGAAAATGGGTCAAACAATGAGAAGGAGATCAGACAGTGGTATCAGCCCGGGCTGTGATAGATCAAAAAGCGCCGATTTTTGTAAGGTTCTAAACTTATATATCATAGATCACAATATATCACAATGTTTTGTGAGGCTTTATATTCACTAGATTGGTACTTTAGTGGGACGAAACATGACTAGATCTCTGCAGATATTCCTGATGTATTTCTACATTCATAATTATATATGTTGAACAAAATGGCTTGAGTCTTTATTCTCATTTAGTGGAAATATGGTGTGCAAGGTGGACAAAATATGTGATTTAATTATCATTATTATATGATTGAATAATTTCCATCTCCCTGATTGGCTGAGATCAAACTATTTTAGAAAAATACTACATTGTATTGACCTGCACGTGACGTTCCAGGTGAATACAAGGATTTATTTCCTCTACATTGATCTAAAAATAGATCGGGAAATTCCAAATTGATACAAATTATTTTGGAAAGCTATTTAAACGACTATGACTTTTTTTTCATGTGAAAAAAACATAACGAATATATATTTTCGGGTGAGGGTGGTAAGACGGGATGCAGGGACCCCCCCCCCCCTCCAACACTTTTACTGAACAACAATTTTTACTTTTTGGCAGTCAGTTTTCCCTGATAATACTCCTTCCTTTCAAAATCTATCCTATGAAAAAGACTGACATTATATATTTTTTTCATGGTAACTAAAATTGATAAAAACATTTCAAATTGATATGACTGTTAAGGTTTATTTACATTTTAAGTCTGCTTCTCTCTTGTATTTGGCTGGGACTTAATTAAATGCAAACAAGTAATAAGCTGTGTCATTTTATCAGTGAATCATAAAATAAAACAATTATTGCTGTTTTTTCGGTCAATACAATGATTTAGCCATCTTCAAAGGACAAAATTCACCTCGCCCTTCAGGCTCGGTGAGTATTGTACTTCTCAGATGGCTAAATCATTGTATTGACCTCAAAAACAGCAACAATTTTATAGTATCATTGAAGAACGGTCTAGTAAACATGTCTTTGCTAAAATATTTAAGAGTTACTAAATCAACTGGTCAGTTCAAAAAGCTGAAAGAGTTTTAACCTGCTAAAGGAGATGTTAACAACTAAATGGCACCCGATTCCATCTCCTATATTTTAAAGGTTCCCGTTTTAAGAAGGATTATTGTAAATAGAATTTTCTAGCTCCATTCCAATCAAATGCACATGTGCACACATCAAAAAATTGTTTTTATGTTCTCCAATTTTGCAGAGGGGTATGTTTTATTGATTTTGAAGATATTCAATTAAGAAATAGATAAAATAAGATTTTCCCATGGGTAATTTTAATCCTATTGACAAATGCACACAAAAGAATTCTTGGTGCAAATTGCACGTACACGTAAGTGCTGCACACTAGGAGTGCATGTACATGTAAATTTCAGCTTTTAAAAGCATAGAAAATAAAATGCATGTGCATGTATTAAATTAAACCTTTTAGCAATTCGACACAATAGGAGTCGATGTAACAGTACAATGAATAACAGTACTTCTGGATATTGTCAGCAATATATAGAAAGTTTAGCAAAATACACCAAGGTAATGTTGAACAACTCTTTCATATGACAAAAAAAAATCACATTAGCAAAAACAAGAGTTGTTGGACCTATTACGGTATTAAAGTGGCAATGTATTCTATGTGCTAGTTTCCGCAGCATTGCCATGACTTTTTACAACAATCTTTCATTGCCATCAGTGTTCTACTATTTTTCTGAACATTTGAGGGACATCAGTTACATTTACTACAACCTAAAAAGAATGTTTTTCTCTCTTTTTTCTAGATTATTTTGTTTAAATATTTCCTTCAGAAAATGATCTAGATGTGTAGTAGATAATACATAATGTATAAACAATGCAATGCACATTCGTCATATCAAAAGATAGAAATTTATTTCAAACTAGACCATTTTTCATGAATGTGGGTGTAATATAAAACTGATATAATCATGTTAATGGTGACACGTGTACTCTTGTTAATTTTGTTTGATGACTGAAATTTTACAAAACCGTTGTAAATCTGATTTTTTTATAAAGATATGTAAACCAACTATCGGATGAAACCGACACAGATCTGTTTAGATAAGTCTTAGCGTTTCATTTCAATATTTTATAGATCTTATTAGATATCTATCAGCGTTAAATCCTTTCATTTTATCATTGTTTATGTTCAAGTTTCTGCTGATCCTGGAGGATTGGAGGTGCTTTCTTCAAATTCTGAAAGTAACGGTAAACATTTTACACATAAATTTTGATGCAAAGATGGCTTGTGACATAAATATTTAATCATTATGGCATCTGTATCAGAAAAAAAAGTTTTGTTTGATATCCTTATTTCCAAATATCTGTAAAATATGGGGAGAATAGAAATTTTCTAAGCTGTATTTAATGTCGTAAATGCTTTCACTTTATTAAGAGAAAAGATTAATTATTAGCAGCAAAATCATAGTTATATATTATATTGAGCAGAATTAACTATCTCATGGTTTTTTGTGTTTATAAATCAGTCATTACATGTAACTGTCAATGGATTCATACATCTACCAGCTAAATTCAAGAAGAGTATATTGAATTTACCTTTTTACATTTCAAAGTATCAACAGAATCGGAATGCTGTATTCAAGAGGCGACACTTCTGTCCTATGCTCGGCAGATCGCCATAGGGATGGTAAGTACTTGAAAGCTGAGAATAAAACAAACTCACTTTTCACACACTTTCCTAAATAATTTCGAAAATTTGATTTTATATGTTATCGGAGAACAAATCCATTATTGTTTTCTGGAATCAATCTCTCATCAAGTATAGATGAAATTAATTCAATGAAATGATAGTGGAAATCGTGATAAAATTTCTTTTCCTTAAAACCAAGACGATTATGGAGTTTGTCTAAAATACTAATTCGCAAAGAATCTTTATTTTGGTTTAGTAAACATGTCATATATATAAGACATCATATTATTGTTTCCAAAAGAAAACATATCGCTAGATCATCATTATTTGTTATAGGAATACCTATCCCAGAAGAAGTTTATCCACAGAGATTTAGCTGCCAGAAACATTCTAATGGTGGACAACCGTAGACTGAAAATCTCGGATTTCGGACTGACACGTGACATATATGAAACTAACATGTATCAGCCTACTTCATCCCGTAAACTCCCCTACAAATGGATGGCCATTGAATCCATTTTCGATCAAGTCTTTACAATAAAATCCGACATGTAAGACCTTAAGAATTCTATGCCATGATATGATTGATTAACGTAACAAGCTTGTCAGACAAGTGTAAAACTAGTCCAGAGCCCTTTTTATAAATGTTGTCTGAGTTGTAAGCAACTTAAAGAAAGACAAATGCATTTTAAAGCTCAAAGATGATATGATAATATCAATTGTAATGCATTATTTGGAATATAAAATAATATATTGTGTAGATTTAAATTTATCAATTCTTAAAACGGTTTTTACTTGTACTGAAAATCATTTTTTTTACATATAGCTGTGCATGTATTCGTGAAATGAATGCAAATTATAGTTAGACATAATTTATATATTTTATTATAACTTAAATTACCTCCTCTTTAATTTAGCTGGTCGTTTGGGATCGTTTTGTGGGAAATCGTAACACTGGGTGGTAGTCCGTATCCGGGAATTCCCAATGAAGATTTATTCCGCCTTCTAAAAGATGGTTACCGCATGGACAGGCCAGAAAATTGTTCCACTGACATGTAATTAAAGATTAAAATGTTTAGAAATAATAGAAAAAAGGTTATTATAAATATCATAGAATTATTTTATTATTACAAATCTTACTTTTACTTACCACCAATCCTTCCAAAAATAGTTTCGTCAAAACATTAACCAATTATGATCTAGAACCAATTTGTAATCTGTCAGCATGGTTTTAGAAGAGCTAGAAGGTGTCAAGCATGTGATTTTCTTTTATCTTTATTTTTGAATTTGATTTTTCAGTTACAATTTTTCTTTGTTTTTAAAGAAACTTATTTTAGAGTAATTTGTTTACAGATACCAAATGATGCTGTCAGCATGGCATCCAAATCCTGACTGCCGCCCGACTTTTACCAACCTCCGCACAAAGCTAGAGTCGATGTTAGAGGCAACACAGTCTTATATTAACCTCTCTGTCAGTGTATCACAGGATTACTATACAAACGAGAGTTCCTCAAGGTAAACAGACCGTCAGTAAGTCATTGGATAACTAAACAAACGAGGGTTCCTTAATTAAGGTAAATAAACCGTCAGTCAATGTGTCACAGGATAACTTAACAAACGAGAGTTCCTCAAAATAAACAAATCGACAGTCAGTGTGTCACAGGATAACTTAACAAACGAGAGTTCCTCAATTCCTCAAAATAAACAAATCGACAGTCAGTGTGTCACAGGATAACTCAACAAACGAGAGTTCCTCAAAATAAACAAATCGACAGTCAGTGTGTCACAGGATAGCTAAACACGAGAATTCCTCAATTCCTCAAAATAAACAAATCGACAGTCAGTGTGTCACAGGATAACTAAACTAACGAGAGTTCCTCAAGATAAACAAATGGTAAATAATAAAGCAGAATTCAAATAATCTGTAAGAAGACATTAGGTATTTCATCAAAGATATTTATAACGGAGGTCGCATGCCACAGAAGGCAATATCAATTACACCCTCACTGTTTAATGGTCCTGGATCAGAATATGATAATTTTGAAGCCCTTTCGCTTACAGTGCAGGAGATGTTTATATCTCCATGGTATCTGCATGGTTTTTGTGTTCCGTATTTGCTCTGCTCCAGTTTTGTATTGTTTAGTGGACTTTAAAGTTTGAATACCGTTCGTTATCATCTTATATTTCACATACATAAATGCGAAAATAATTATTAACTTTTAAAAATGAAGTTGAAAGCTGTGTAGGAATATTTCATTCAGTCTCTTTGAAAAATAAGCCTATATAATATAAACGTTGTCTGCTTTTTTAAATGAGGAAACGATGTATCATTTTTCTCGAATGATTACATTTCATTTTCCCAGAATGTCTTCTCCTTCATCGCTTTGACCGATCATCAACTCATTCGAAGTCTATTATACATGTCCTTTGAAGAATATGATTAACCAGACTTTTTCAATGTCCTCTTTATAATTTTATTAATGAATCTATAGATTTTTTTTTATTATGAAAGGAATTTGCCTGCAAACTGACATCAAGTTGAAGATATGGTGAAAGTAATAATATAACGATATAAAAAAATCTCTGCTTGTAATGAAAAAAAGGTTTATGTTAAATTTGATTTTGGTGAAATGAAAAATACTTTTAAAATAGAATGTCAATTAAAAAAAAAATGTCTTACATTATACGTTTAACAACAATCATAATTATGTGTCAAGCAATAAAAATGTCTATCTTATTTAATACATCGGTTAATTCGAATACTTGATGATAAGGAGGACCTCCAGTAATTATGATATGCCTAACTTTAATTATTGTTTTGTATTTTCATGCATAAAGGGACACATCGCCGCTTTCCTTGCCAGACAGTGTTTCGGACAGCACTGGAAGTAGATCTTCATCATATTTTGCCATGAATGTACAAGGGGAGACAAATGCTTCGCCAGTTGTTCCAAATACTTATCTCTCCCTCCCACAAAACTCAACGATACCCGTGAGTTCTAACGAATTGAAACGTGAATGTGTTCACGGATCAGAATTGACATCTTGTTACAATACGGAACAATGTGAAATGTGCAGAAGTTTACCATGTGCCTTGTGTAAGAATGAATCCAAATTTAAACAGGAAAATACTCAGTCCGGATATCCAGTCAATGAAGTCACAAAATCCTCATCCATTAATAAAATAAGGATTTTTCCACATGGAAGTAAAGTTGTCTATTCTGACAAAATTACAGTTGGAGAAAAACAAAATTTTGACACGTGTTCAAATTCAATTTCTATCCATAATAAATCTTGAATTAAAAATGTTTACATAACAATAATCATTTTTTTAATCTTCATAATTCATTCAACATATATACAAGCGGCAAATTGCTAAAATTAACATTTAAGTAGGTGAAAAATATTAATTACACTTTCAGCTGGGTTTTCGACAAAATCAATTCATATAAAAATTTGAATTGTTTTATTCTGTCATGACGATGGTCGTCATGAGATACTGTTTTCAATTTATTGTGATTTTGCTGGATTGTTCAGATGCTTTGTGCTTAATCTTTACTGTTTTTTGCCTGTTCTGTGTAGTACCAGAGATGAACAGTGTTGCTTTGATAGATCTTATGACGGCAATCTTATTATATAATTAGCAGAATAAAACAATTCAAATTTTTATAAATTTGACTTTGCCGAAAGACCAGCTGAAAGTGTAACTAATATTTTTTATCTACTTAAAAATTCTACTATTTTTGATATACTTTATATATTTTATAGTTCTAAGTGACTTTGTTCATCAGTGCTAACTCCCTTTTCACCATAAAGAAGTCTCAAAACTTCATTGTCCTCTCGTGCCAAGTAAAGGTTTAAATATGAAGATCTCCACCGGAGTACGGTGACATCTCTTTATGAGTGAAAATTTCCTAAAAAGGACCTACAACATTTAAACAATCTATCATGTTCATTAAAGTATATGGCTGTTCGTAGTTTTTTCACAGTACGGGAGTTTATGTGAAATTGTTTTCACAAATGGCACCTGTAATCTTTATTTTTGAGTCCGACATATGCAAACAATATAACCATCTTAATATTTCAAGGTTTATATGTAATTTTGTATTACTTCAGTCGTGCATGAGGGATAAACCCTGAAGATGCGATGTCTACCAACAAGTCCGTCACTTGAACATTTTAAACAATTTGTTATTTGGTTCCCCAAATAAGATAAAATAACCTTAAACTACAAAATGCTTAAAGCACAGTAAAAATAAAATTTGACATCATTGACATACACTGAACGGCACCCAAGTGCATTATTGTGCTTCTTTGTCTAATGATAATAGCAGAGTTAATTTACCTACCTTTTAATGAAAAAAAAAACTTATACAGTATGCATTGTTAGTATTAGATCTTAAATACCATGATTTAGGAAGAAATACATGATAAATTAAAAAAAAATTTCAAACTTAAACGCAGAAAAAAACGAAAATTTATGCTAGTTAGCTATAAATCATGAATCTTAAAGCAAATAAAATATAGCATCATAACTCCTTCCTAGATCCAGAGATTGTAAATTTTACAAATCTCCTTGTAACAATGCTAGACCAATTACCAAGTGCAAGTGAATAAAACCGTATCTAGTTAAGCAATTCAGAAGTTTATGGTGGCCATCCATTCACTATTTATCTATGAAAATAGGGGAAAAAACAGCATATCTCAAACTTTATGTCAAATATAAATCAAAACTCTTGTCAATTAAGCAATGAATAATTGGTCGGGTTACTATATACGAAGCAATACAGAAACATAATTAAGTTTTTGATTTAGAGTTGGAAGGAGTTACGTTTCTCGTTTGCCTCAATACTGCTAAATTTTGCTTAATCGTGTTATGAAGGATATGGAGATAACGAACAGAAGTCAATATGTAAGGAATATATTATGTCACTGTGAAATTACTTTTATTATTAAATATTATGCTAAGGTGAGAACCTGTGTGTACACAAATACAACGTGTTGATATGTTAAATAAAGGGTAAAAATCAAATGTAAATATATTGTTTGTAAAACGTAATATAAAATTGAGATCTTACAAAAGAAGCAGTATAAAATAACAATAGATTAAAGACTAGAATCCTTACGTAATAATCATGTTGTTTTGACTCATAGATTGAAAATAAAAAAGGTAATTGTTGATATTATATAAAAACTGTGATATTTACACACAGGTAAGAGATATGAAAGTTTTAATTTAAAAAAAGAGAAAGGCTTAACTCCCGAAAAACATTTTAATTTTAGAGCAATACAACAAGTTGTAAACAGGTTAGATATAAGAATCAGGAACATATTCTTTAATCTGACACAAATCTTCTTCTTTTCTTAATTCTTGCACAATTGTTAGAATCTTTATTTACAATTTGTAAATGTTGTAAAATGTCTCTTTTTATGCATGTAAGAATGCTATTGTCTCTTGAAAAGCTACCTCATGCTTTTGGAGTCTTAGAAACTCTGGGTCCGCTTGTTTTGTCTCGGGGCTGGTTTCTTGGGAAAGAAACATTTGCGTTTGTCTGGAAATCTTAATCAGCTATTCATCAACATTTAGTCCTGAGAAAACTGTAAACAAATGTGATAAATAACTTACTATAAATTCGAATCAGGACATTCAATTATATGGAAATGTTTTTCAATGTACAGTTATCTGTTACAAAATAATCTATTATGGCAACTTGCGGATCATTTGTAGTTACATCTCGTTAATCGGAAAGTGAAAGAAAAAATCATTTTGTTATGCTTAGAAAAAATGTCTTGTTCTATTTATTGCATGATAGCTCGACTTGTTCTTTTTTTAATCAAGATTTTTACTCTGCTATTCCATAGTAATGAAACAATCTTTCATTTTGCAAAAACAATCTGTCATAATTGGTTCCTGTTATCATCAATAACATTGTATGATTGTATAACTGTGTACTTTTATTTACCAACCTGTTTTGATATCCAATGAAAAAGAATATTCCAAAGATTTCTAAATGAAGAGAAAACATTTTTTCTTTGGCATTCAACACGACATTTAGATGTATCGATAAGTTGAAATTTAATTAATATCAGTTGAATAGTCATCAGGAAAATCACTAAGCTAAAAATCACCATTATTCGTACAAGGTTTCTGAATGCGGTCACTTTATCTTCTGTGTATTTTTTAAAGTCTTCCAACTTATTTTATACTGAAGAACATGCTCTGTATACCATAACCCTAGTCAGGCTATTGGCAAATGATTTAAATCTTAAGGGATTTAAGCAGCCTTTTTTACTATCTGCATTTTGTAAATTCGTTAGAATGACCTAGCTAGTTAGTAAATATATTCCATCATTGGGTCGTATTTTGGCTGATCGGTTTCATACCAATTGTTTGTTTCATACTAAATTTGACTACAAAGTGACTCAATTTGGCTCAACTTGATCATTACAACATGCTTACGGCGAAGATGAGTGGTCTACAGGGGATGCTTCATATTTCTATGCACGTGATCCTATGAAAATACGTTAGCGTTTTAAATTTTATGAAGAAACCGAGTTATGTAAAGATCTGACATAGTTTAAAAAATAAACTCCTTGAACAGTATTCTGTTCACATCTGAAAAACCAATACCCTTGCAAAATTAACGACCACACTTGTTTATACCTACAGTGACAAAAAAAACCCCTGAAATTTTCTTCTGATTGCTGATGTAAAAGATAGAAGATACCCTTGTGTTTAATTGATTACGTAAGCAAATTCTAAAACCAATTACATGTAAGTCTTATACCGTTGATTCTTCAACAGTGATGGAATTGTTTAGATATATCCCTATATTATGTAATAATCCTCGAAATCGATTGATAATTAATCTCTTGGGCAAAGAGAAGGGATGGTTGGAGCTCTGTTCACAGAGACTCTCCATCGGAAGCGCATTTTAAAGGATTTAAGTTTAAGTTGTTACCAACAAGCAAACAGAATGCAAGAGAAATTTTTATTTCTGCACTTATTAAAAAGCAAAAAGACTTGTGATTGGTTATAGTTAATAATTGTGTATGCTGTGGATCAAGACTCGTTAACCTATCTCTTTTGAGCTAATATTTAAAAAGTATACAATCTACTATATAGTGGGGGTAAACAACAGAGGACATCAGTCGATTTAGGCTAACAAAATAAAGGGTGCTTTTGTGGTTTTTAGCTTAAAACATGTAATGTGAATTTATTTTGAGATGAAGAAAAAATTATATAAAAATAAAATATTTTGACCCTATATTTATTTTCGAGGTTAACAAGAAAACTTTGATACAATATTGCATATGATTACACTAAACATGTACATTATGTCGGGTCACTATCTCTTATTTTTCAAGTTTAAAACTGGCAAAACGTCATTTTGATTTTTTTAATGTCATAATTTTAATAAAATAAAGATAATAATATTCTTACGACTGAAAGACACAAATATTCTTATCCCTTTCCCTTTATCATTTCAGCTTTGTCATACTCATTCTTTTTTATCCATAGTTTATTCTACTTATATGTACAGGTAACGTTTTCTGTACATAATTTGATTCCTTGATCAGATGAATTCACCATAATGAAATTTTTATTTTCATGGAAATCACACCTTCTGTGTGAAATAATTTTCTGTGATACTATGTTTACCAAAGAAGTGTTATATTCTATTGGTTTCATGCCATGTTATTTCACAATTCTAACCTATAGATGTTAATTTACAATACTGTTTCTCATTATTACATATCAATATCTATAAAATACAGCTGTACTTATTAAGAAACAATTCTTGCCTCGCGAAGGACTCGACTTTATACAGAGAAAATTCACAGTGTTGACGCGTTTGGCATAAGCACCGTATCCAACGGGTAACGCGGGGGAGTCGCTAAAAAGTATGGGGGAGTCGTTTTCAACGTATGGGGGAGTCGATTTTCACCGCTTCGGAGTCAGAAGCGATGTGGGTCACGTCTTTTTTCGGTATATGTAAGATGTATGTACAAAAAACAACTAGCCCACGGAAGGTAGCAATAGTTAAGCTTTCTGTTGGTCATTTGTCCGGCTAGCATATACGTCTAGTTTTCTCAAACACTTCGAAACTATTCGACAGATTTCATATTTACGTTGATCGAGTGGTTAAGACATGCATATTTTGCACAATCTACGACTTGTGTAGGGATTATAACAGTTAAAACAGTAAAAGCAAACGTTAATCTTTCAAATGCAACAATTGAAAGTTGGCTAGACTTTATGAAAATTAATAATTAAGACATTTTCTCTTCAGAAAGTAA